TTCTTTGGTATAATTGTTCTGCAGTTTGTGGGTCGTCTGCTTGGTGGCTCTATGGTGGGGTTAATAGTGACCTCCTCCAAGAGGGCTTATGCCACAGACTATGTGACCCAGGTCTGCTGTACCCAGAGCCCCTGTCCCTGTTGCAGGTCACTGCTGACCCGAACCTTCACCTTAAATGTTTTTCTCTCAAGTCAAGAATAAATTGGTTCTTGAATTGTCTAAACAAAGCCTCCCTCCCTCCCTCCCTCACCATCTTCAAATATCACCTTCTCAGCAAGGCCTTCCCCTGTAACAATTCATACCTATAAATACCCAAACAGAATGCCAACAGGACCATGTGCACATGCACACATACACACACCTATAATAACCTCGCCAAATGACTTTTCCAGTAGCATTTTCACCATCTGATCTATGACATATTTCTTTGGTTTTACAGTTTTTTTTTTAACTGAGACAGCATTGGTTTAAAACACTGGCTTCTTGTATACATTTCAACTTCTGTATACATTACACTGCGCTCACCATGCACAACTTAGTTCCCATCCATCACCATACAACTGGCCTCTTCTACACATTTCACCCTCCCACCCCCACCTCCAGTTCCTTCTGGTTGCGGTTGCTGTTTAGTTGCTACGTCATCTCTGATTTTGCATAAACCCATGAATTGTAGCCTACCAGGCTCCTCCATCCATGGGATACCCCAGGCAAAATAATGGAGTGGGTTGCCATTTCCTTCTCCAGGGGATTTTCCCCACAATAAAAAAGGCAGTGTGCCAAAGAACTGATGCCTTTGAACTGTGGTGTTGCAGAAGACTCTTGAGAGTCTCTTGGACTGCAAGGAGATCCAACCAGTCTATCCTAAAGGAAATCAGTTTTGAATATTCATTGGAAGCACTGATGCTGAAGCTGAAGCTCCAACACTTTGGCCACCTGATGCAAAGAGCCAACACATTGGAGAAGACCCTGATGCTGGGAAAGATTGAAGGCAGGAGGAGAAGGGGACGACAGAGGATGAGATGGTTGGATGGCATCACTGACTCGATGGACATGAGTTTGAGCAGTCTCCGGGAGATGGTGATGGACAGGGAAGCCTGGCGAGCCGCAGTCCATGGGATCACAAAGAGTCANCTGCCTCTTGAGAAACCTGTATGCAGGTCAGGAAGCAACAGTTAGAACTGGACATGGAACAACAGACTGGTTCCAAATAGGAAAAGGAGTACATCAAGGCTGTATATTGTCACCCTCTTTATTTAACTTAAATGCAGAGTACATCATGAGAAATGCTCGGCTGGAGGAAGCACAAGCTGGAATCAAGATTGGGAGAAGAAATATCAATAATCTCAGATATGCAGATGACACCACCCTTATGGCAGAGAGTGAAGAGGAACTAAAAAGCCTCTTGAAGAAAGTGAGAGAGGAGAGTGAAAAAGTTGGCTTAAAGCTCAACATTCAGAAAACTAAGATCATGGACTCCGGTCCCATCACTTCATGGCAGATAGATGGGGAAACAGTGGAAACAGTGTCAGACTTTATTTTTTTGGGCTCCAACATCACTGCAGATGGTGATTGCAGCCATGAAATTAAAAGACACTAACTCATTAGAAAGAAAGTTATGACCAACCTAGACATCATATTAAGAAACAGAGACATTACTTTACCAACAATGGTCCATCTAGTCAAGGCTATGGTTTTTCCATTAGTCATGTATGGCTGTGAGAGTTGGACCATAAAGAAACATAAAGAAAGCTGAGCACCAAAGAATTGATGCTTTTGAACTGTGGTGTTGGAGAAGACTCTTGAGAGTCTCTTGGACTGCAAGGAGATCCAACTAGTCCATCCTAAAGGAGATCAGTTCTGGGTGTTCATTGGAAGGACTGATGCTGAAGCTAAGCTCCAATACTTTGGCCACCTGATGTGAAGAGGCAACTCATTAGAAAAAACCCTGATACTGGGAAAGACTGAAGGCAGGAGGAGAAGGGGATGACAGAGGATGAGATGGCTGTATGGCATCACCAACTCAATGGACATGAGTTTGAGTAAACTCTGGGAGTTGGTGATGGACAGGGAGGTCTGGTGTGCTGCAGTCCATGGGGTCACAAAGAGTCACACAACTGAGGGACTGAACTGAACTGATTGCTACAGGGATGGGATCACCCTGGTTCCCTGTGATCATGCGTATCCCTGCAACCAGCAACCTAGAGTTGTCCACACCACCTCGAAGCTGCTACCAGTGAAGTTCTCTGCAGCTCTGGGCTCAGCCAGCCTGGCTGGGCTTTTAGATACCACCTCCTCTGGTCTTCCAGTCTACCCACCTTTACTTGGGTGGTACATTGGACAGAGGAACCTTTTTTGATTTATGGATGTTTTATTGTTTATAGATTGAAGATAAGAGACAGTGAAAGCATCCCACATTGCCATGATGCTGACCTGATCAATACATTTTATTCATTAATTTCCCTCCTCTAGTTAAAATATAATTTCTATGAAAGTACAAATGTTTGCCTTTTTTGTTCACTGTTCAACAAACAGATCTGGGCCTGATATATGAAAGATATTTAGTTTTGCATAAAGAGTTGAAAGAATAAAAAAGCATGTAGTAAAAAAATTCTAATAGTGCCCATTTTAAAATAGGGTATGTGTATCATGTAGTGGAGTAATACAGGATAAGTGTAACACTTCATTAGGGGAAAAAAAGTATTATAAAAGAAAGCTATTAAAAAAAACAACAACACTCAAAAGAAGGTGTGGCTTGTGATAGACGGAATGGAACTATTTATTGATCAGTTAGGTAGGGAAGAGTAGTAGGTATTCAGTATGGTTCGTTTCCTCTTAGAAGTGATATTGTAGGAACATATGGAAAGTAATATTCTGGAACTAAAACTTAGCCAATAGAAACAATTACACTTTTTAACATACTTGAAAAGAAATAAGTGTTTCCCAGTTACATATTGCACTTTTAAGGAATCTTTAAAGCTACTGTGAATCAAGTATTTAAAGACTAAAATTTTCAGTTTCTTTCCTACAAGTATGGAATAGAACTTAGCCATGAATAAAGAAGATAGTGAGGAATTGACAAAAAAAAATGGACATGGCCTGAACTCAAATTTCCTTAAGTTACCAAATGGTTTCTGAGATGAAACAGGCCCTCCTCAATCAATTGTGCCTTTTTTTACATCATAAACTTAGCACTTATTACATGAAAAATCTTTTATTTAGTCTTTCTCCCCCTAGTAAAGATTTTAAACATGTCTGATGTCTAGGTCAGTGCTCAGTTTTAATTCCAATTCTTTAACGCTCCTCCACAATCTACTAGTACCCTTGTTCACAATGACTGGTAAAAATCTGTATTTAAATAAACTACTATGTTTAAGTGCCTTACCAATTTGATGAAAATGATCTTTTTTAATCCCCCAAATCAGCTAGCTTAAATTTCATTTATATTCATTTTATCATGTGGTTATACATAGTTCTAAAGGGAATTAACTCGTTAAAGATTTAGAATTAAAATGCTCATCTAATATAATAAACATTTGTACCTCATGAAACTTAAAAATATGTAGACTTTGGATTATTACTCATACATAACTGGACAGAGTGTCAGAAGTCAAGGGTTGCAGTCCCAGTTCCACTGGTATTTACCACATGGCCCTGAATGACAAGCTACTATGCAGTTACTTCTCCAGGCCTGAGGGAGAACCTCAGTTTGGCATGAAGTAAGCGCTCACTAATTCAACGAAGAAGGCTTTCTAATTGCTAGGATCTGTTGTTTTAAATTATTAAGCACTTTTCTTCCAAAGGAATCTCAAAGCACTTGAAATCTATTAGCATCACCAACCACAGGTCACATGCCTGAAACCTCAGCTAGTCACAGCACTGAGAAGTTGAGCCCCTGTTATCTTGAACTCCATCCGGGCTCCTGCACGGTGTTCCTATAGGACAGTGAACTGCAAACTACAGTCACTGCAAGAGATGTCATGGTCATTTCAGTCCAGAGGCCAGCTTCCTGGCAAACTTTCAAAAGAAATGAAGGAAGACACTGGTTCTGGTTCAATAATGATAATCGGTTAACATGAGAAACACAAAGGCCTACCTATTATACAAAAGATAAGACCCTCTCTCTCATCCAGAGTAAACAGTCTGGTAAAGAATAAACAGAGGAGTTTCATTTCTAGGATCCGTGTGATGACAGAATTTCACTCACAGTGAGACAGAAGCACAAAGAGAGGGTTTGATGCATGAGTCTGAGCTTGCTTGGGGGGAAAAGGGTGGTGTGGGGGGCGGGAGGAGACTAGCTATCATTTGTTTAAAATAGCTGCCCTTCACTTTCTGTTTACTGAGAAGATCACTAAGATTTTCTCTAAAGTTTATTTTTTTTTTTTAAATCCCCCTCAAAAAAACAAAAAGTCTCAGATTAAAGCAGACCACCTGCTGAATTTCCTTCTCAAGCCCGGACACGCCAGAGCTACACGTGGCCCATCACTAGCACAAATACAAAGTAATTCACGCTCTCAAAGTAATTTCCTTAACTTGGTTAAGGAAAATAACCACTTTTTCAGGTTAAGAGAAGTAGTTCTCATACTAAGTCATTTTTACCAAAAATCATCTCTACTTTCAATGGAACACCACAGAGGAAAAAGTCTTCTATAAGAAAAACCTGCTTTCCAGGCAGCATTTCAGGGACAAGTGTCCTCTGACCCTTTCATTCAGACGCAGAGCAGATGGCGTGGCCATCGTCCAGCCTCACAGTAACAGGACAAGGAAGCTCAACTTCCGGGGTTCCTCAGTTTCGGCTAGGGCCGCAGAGAGCAGCCAGGGCTGGTAGGAGGTCAGTGACACAGCTGACAGGCTGGAACAGGAAACGCTCCACTGCGGAGCTTCCTGGGTCCCGCACTCCTCTCCTCACACACGCTCAACCCTCACACGCTGCAGCAGCTTCTGAGGAAGCGTCTCATCTCACTAAGTCCAAGATCAAGGCGCCCTCTTTCTTCTCTTACAACCTGTACTCCACACAGCGGCCTGGAGCTGCTGCTGCTCACTTGCTCAATCATGGCCGACTCTTCCGCAGCCCCCACCATGCACTGCGGCCCGGAAGGCTCCTCTGTCCGTGGAATTTCCCAGGCGAGCACTCTGGAGTCGGCTGCCATTCAAACCCACGGACTGAACCCGATTCTCCTGCCTTGGCAGGAGGATTCTTTACCCGCAGAGACCCCAGGGAAGCCCCAAGTGGCCTGTAGTTCATCAAATAAACTTGCCTGCTTTTCCACCCGAGCCCAGTGAGGTGAACCCGGGGCTCACATCCTTGCTCTAGGAATAACTCACTTCATACAGAAGCCTGACACGTCCTGTCTCCTTAGGAGAGATGAAATCAAGTATCATCACGAGTATTCCCTTTATGTGTATGTCTCTTAAACAATAAATTCCCAAAACTGGATTAGGGTTAGGGTCAGGGTTAGCCTCAGGGTCAGGATCAGGGCTGGAGGGCTCTCTCCTGGGGCAGCAAAGTCTGACACTGGACCACAGGACCGAGTTCCTACAGGACCGGACCTAGTTCCACGATTGAGTAGCTTTTTGTTACCTTAGGCAAAATACTTAAGCTTTCCTTTGCAGTCTCAACTTTCTGTATATAATAAAACAACGCTACTGCTTACTTCAGAGTGTTAGTGGGAAGTTATAGATACTCAGTTTTTCAAACAAACATGTTTGTCTCCCCTCTGTAACAAAAGAAAAAATGTAGTGCATCATATGAGAACTGAGGTGGAGGGTGGAATGGATTGTGACCAGCATAACCGGGTCATTTAGAAAACTCTTGTGTTCATGATAAATGACACAGAACAAGGGAATCTAAAGTATGTTTTAGCAACTAGATTTCACTGTGAGCAGCAAAATTTCCAGAAATAATACAAAAAAGGATGTACAGGCACACACATACATACTAGCTTCAGTGAGTCCAAAATTAGATAGAAAAAATACACACTAGTCAACCTGTAGTTTCCAGGATCACACCAAGTAACTGATTTTTTTTTTTTTTTAATTTTCTATATACATGCACACAAAATGCCTTCACAGACATTTACTACTCTAGGTAAAAGCCTTCCCCACTAGTGCTGTAAGAAGCTGCAGCTGGACTCTGGGTCAGATGGCACTCAGCAGCTTCGTGTGTGTTGGGGGTGGGGTATGTCAGGAATGAATGTGGTTATCAAGGCATTTCTAAGTACGGAACCCTTGGAACAACATTAGAGCGAGGGTCATGGGAAAAGAAGCTTTGCTCACCCTACTTCCTGGCAGCATTTTCAGTGCGCAAGCCATAAGCAACTCATGTTTACAAGATGGAACAGGAAAAGAGGGGCTTATTAGATGAACGGGTGCAGGGAGAATCAGTGCATACGTGCACACAGATTATAAATTATGTACACTTTTAAAATTTTTATTTTAAAACTCCATAAAGTTTAAAAGTCTTCCATATCATGCTTCATTGTGCAAAATATCCTTACCTCTTTAATAAACTGAATTAAGTTAGAATATTTTTATTGGTGTCAATCACACAAATGAAACTCAATCAGGAAGAAAACAATCACGATATATCTATTTCACATTTCTGAAGAAAAAAATGTAATTTGGAATTATTTTTAGGAGTTATAGAAAAAAATATTTCTCAGGACTTCAGAGTTTCAAACCTAGAATTCTTCATATTAAAACAAGATTTTTTAAGAAGGAGGTGAATATATCCTGAAGTTGGTGTAAAATTCAAGAGCATTTTATTTACCAAAGGTCAACAGTGCCTTACTTTTTAATCATCTTGCAAAAATTCACAGACAAAGGATAGCCAGTTAACAAATCTCAGATTATTCAACTAAGACTAGCTACCTCTTTTTTTAAAAAGAAGGGTCTAAGACAATTCAACCTAAGGTGTGGGGGAGCCACAGCCAAATCTATATATTTCTAATTTGTGTTTCCTGGTTTTAATCCTGGAAATCTGGAGAATTATAAGCGCTTTTCAAAAATACGTCAAACTAGGTCTGGGCGCAACAAGCAACTTTTTTCTTAAATTCTGAAGTACATGCTTTCTTTATAGCTATGGATTTACCAAGGAGAGTGTGCTCCTCATTGCCGTTATGCTTGAGTGTTATTAAACTAAACAGACAAAATATGAAGAACCGACCTTGGCATGGAATGCAACAGGCATAGTTTTATCTCCCCCTCTGCTTCTTCTTAAAAAGAAAACAAATATCTAAACTTGAAATGTAAAAATGCAGATTTCCACATGTTTGCTTTACTTGTAACACAGCATTTCCACTCTTTGGTAGTAGTCGCAGCAGCAGTAATTGTATAACATACTTTATCATTTTATGTAGAAGAATATATTGTTTACCAGCTTCACACATAGTACTCTCACGGATGAAAATCAAACCTTTTCCTTACATACTAAAAAGGTAAGATGCTCACATGCAATGTTCTGATCAAACTGCAAAATGAGAAAAAAAGAAAATCCATTACAATTATTGAACTACACTTGTTTTATATCTTTAAGCTAATGTCAGATCCTTTACATGGCTAGTTAGTATTTGAAACAAGCCAGCAGCACTTAGCTGTTCAATTCAGACTTCAGGATTCCCCCAACAGTGCTGTGAGGTTCTGAACATACAGCATCTCTGAATTATAAACATCTAATATGTCCTTGTTATTCCAGTGGATTTCAGTCTTTCTACACGTGAATGCCAGTCTACATTAAAGAAATCTCTTTCCCACTCACCCCCAATTATTAATATTCAAGGTGACGAGAGAAAACAGGAAAGTAATTGCCTCTGAAGAGCTACGATTACAACCAAATCAATATTTGAAAGCTGTCAATTATAGACTACAACAATATCTCTACAACTAAATAGTTTCTCTAAGCACTTAAAATCACTTCTTAGAGCACATATTCTCCTAACGCCCTATTAAGATATCCAAGAACAATTCCAGTACAAAATATCGTCTTCTTTGACATCTAGCATATGCCTACTCCATGCAAGAAACTACAGAAAGGAGTCTAATATGATTTCTTCCTCACCTTATAAAGAGTTTATAGTCTAATTAGAATTAGTTTGTAATCTAATTATGATCTAATTAGAATGGCCACAGGAGCACTTTCTGAGGAAGAATGGACCTGATTGGGCAAAAAGTGAATGAATGAAACACTAATGTGAGGGTCCAGACACCAGTATCCACTACAGTGCTAGGGTATGCATGTGTGCGTGCTCAGTTGCTTGAGTCATGTCTGACTTTTTGTGACCCCATGGACTGCAGCCCTCCAGGCTCCTCTGTCCATGGGATTTTCCCAGCAAGAATCCTGGAGCGGGTTGTCATGCCCTCCTTCAGGGATCTTCCTGACCCAGCGATCAAACCCGAGTCTCCTGCATTCCAAGTGGACTCTTTACCTGCTGAGCCATCCAGGAAGCCCCTTTTATATCCTTACCCAGCAAGTTGGTCCATATAAGTCCAGGATCATTTAGTACCAATAATAAGTGTTTCAATAAAGATTAAGTTGAATTAAGTTTTACAGAAAATAGAGTTTATTCATTCAACAAAATATTAAGCATCTATTCAAAGCAAGTCACTGGCCCTGATATAAAACTTAGTGATGAGAGTAAACAGTGAACGAAGCCACGATGCGCCGAGATGTCTAAGACTTGTGGAACAGGTGCTGAAGGTGAGGACACAAAGACGTTCACCAACAGGGAAGTGCACAGACATTTTAAAGAACAAGCTCACGTTAGAATTAAAATGACACTTGAAACTCACTTAGTGACAATAATAACGAAAGCAGTAACAGCAACAAAATATAAGAATCCTGGACCAGACTGTGCTGGGACCCTCATTCTATGTTCACATCAACCCTACAAAAGCCTCCATGATAATCATCTTCATTTTGCATACGCAGAAGCTGACCCTGAGAGAGGTTAAAGCACTTGTGCCATGTGGATGGGGAGACAGAGGGTGCTCTTACGTGACCATAAGGCTACTCTCATTTGTAACAAAATTAATGATTCTTTAATATCATCAAAAGCTAGCCCACATTTAAATTTCTCCAATTACCTCTAAGATTTGTTTTCTTATTTGCTTAAAAATAAGGATCCTAGAAAAATCTACTCATTGCATTCACTTACATCTCTTAAACTTCTCAAATCCCTTTTAATATAGAATAGTTGCCTGTTTCTTTTTCCTTCTTGTCCCAAGCCACTGACTCTTGACTAAATTGATTCAGTCATTCTGTAGGATGTCCCAATTTCTGGATTTCGCTGAGTGCTTCCTCTAAGTGTTATTGATCTTGCTCCTCAATCTCTGGTGTTTCCTAGAGTCAGGAAGCTATGTATAAAGGCTTGATCAAAAGTAGAAAGAAAACCAGAACAAGGGTGCTTCTCCTGCCCCTTTCTCTTTTTTAACAGAAAAAAAAAAAAAAAGTTTATGTATGCCAAGCTGACGTGATATTTTTATTGAAAAAAGAAAAACTGTTTAGATAATAACAAAAAAAAATCAAGATTCTTTTAGAGAAATTAATTTGTACTCTAATGATCTTATTGTTGTTGTTCAGTCACTAAGTTGTCACTAAGTCGCTAACACAACTCTTTGCAACCCCATTTTCTGCAGCACGCCAAGCTTCCCTGTCTGTCACTATCTCCCAGAGCTTGCTCAAATTCGTGTCCATTGAGTCAGTGATGCCATCCAACCATCTCTGTCATCCCCTTCTCCTCCCACCTTCAATCTTTTCCAGCATTAGGGTCTTTTCCAATGAGCTGGTTCTTTGCATCAGGTAGCCAAAATATTTAAAATCAGTTTCCTAAAAAAGGTGCTACAAGACTTTCTGCTGTTTGTTTTTTTGTTTCTGTTTTAAATATTAACAGTTCAGTTGCTCAGTCATGTCCAACTCTGAGACCCCATGGACTGCAGCACACCAGGCCTCCCTGTCTATCAACAACTCCCGGAGTTTACACAAACCCATGTTCACCTAGTCGGTGATGCTATCCAACAGTCTCATCCTCTGTTATCCCCTTCTCCTCCCGTCTTCAATCTTTCCCAGCATCAGGGTCTTTTTCTAATGAGTTGCCTCTTCACATCAGGTGGCCAAAGTATTGGAGCATCAGCTTCAGCATCAGTCCTTCCAATGAATACTCAGGACTGATCTCCTTTAGG